GTGTAGGATCTATTCTGAAATAGATTGAATAATATGACAAACTTCAAGGATCTAATCTCCCAATTAGACAGTATGGCCAGCTGACTATTGGTCTGTAGCTAATATGCACACACTATGGCTATTGAAAAGGATCAAAATAAATCTTGTTTTGTGCATTCAGGGCACAATACACTCCTTTATTGTCCGGTCATGACGGTGGTGACCTGAGGTCATTTACTGTGGTAGAGCAGGGGAATGATTGTTAATGGAGCATAAATGTCCACGGCTGCCTGAGAGCCAGTAATTAATGGAACACACAAACAAACACACTCTCACATGTGCAAACAAGGCCACACACACATACCCACATGAAAAAAGACTACAGTTTACTATAGAATACTACAGTACTTAATATAGAATTCTATAGTAAAATGTAGTATACTGTAGAATACTATACTACACACTGTAGTATCTCTCGATCGTGTATAGTACTTACTATAAAATGTTGTAGTATACTGTAGAATATTATAGTAAACACTACATTGTTATCCGCAAAAAAAAAAAAAACACTGTAGTAGATATTACAGTAATGTCCTCAAAAACACTACAATCCGCAAAAACGCTACACTTTTTAAACTATAGTAAATACTACAGTATTTAATTTGCATATACCCTGCCCATTCCCCTCCCGCATATTGCAGTATGTGCCAGCCATAAGTGAGGAACCTACATGATAAGTATAGACCATATATTGTGTTCCCTACAGGTTATAGAAAAAAGCATAAGCTCTGAACTATCTGTTCAGACACCTGTCCTACCTACGGGTTATGGAAAATTAGCTATTTTAGTATATCTTCAGTTGATTTCCTGACGGAGAAAGCCTCCACTTCTATGTCAAAGATAATCAAACTAAAACACTTTAGTGAATACTACAGTAATGTCTGCAAAAACACTTCAGTAAATACTATTGTATTTATACCATAGTTTACTTTAGTATTTATTCATGTGGGTACACACACACACACGCACACAAACATGTTTATGTGCAAACACACATGCACGTACGCACAGACATGCACACACACACACAAACATGTTTATGTGCACACACACACACATGTACACCCCACCCCCCCACCACCCCACTCCACACACACACACACACACACACACACACACACACACACACACACACACACACACACACACACACACACACAGACTGGTCCAGCAGTATACTCAAGCATATAAATACATCCAATTGAGGCATTGCTTTATTACGTTGCCTTTGGCACAGAAGGGAGGTTTTGCCCTTGAGCCCCCTTCAGAAGGGTGTCAGGGGTGTTGGCAGCCAGCCTAGGGAGAGCTAGCTCGGTTGTATGTGCTCTTGGCACTGGTGTGTAACTAGAGCTTATTATCCCTGGGAGAGGAACAGCAAAGCTACCAGGGAGTGGTCCTCAGCACGTACATGTACACAACAACAGCGGAGGGAGGACATCCATCAAGTTTAAAAGCAGAGTGGATATCTGACAGATTAAACCAGATTGGATTCAATACAGTAGGCCTACTGGTGTCCAGTTTGATGACATTTAAATAGAACGGTTTATTCAGTGATAAAGTTATGGAGGATATGCGATTTAAATGGCATAGGCTTGTGGTGGTCCATTGGAAGTGTTATTATTGTTTTTTCTAACCTCTAGATTTGAACTTCCCCTCTATCTCTCTCTCTTATTGGCATCCTACTGTTTCTCAAAGCCATAGGGTGGCTGCCCAGCAGTCATAATATAAACATCTGCTTCCTATAGTAGGAATACTGGATAGTGTTTGTCTAGGTAAAGCATTGAATTGTCCTTTTGACTCACACTTGCAAGTACAGTTACATTCACACATAGAGGATTATGGCTACTGCCAGTGTATACATAGGGTCCTGTGTAACATTGAATAACATTGAGCTTTGTGTGCAGTGCTTTACACTGACTTCACACTGCACAACAGCTAGTGACCTATTAGTAAAACAGCACAATCCCATTGACAATTTAGGCAACATATGATTCAATTATTATATGTATGAATATATTTTTGTATGGGTCACATCCCAGCTAGCACATAACGTTCTGAGAACCATATGTTTCTTAGAGCTTGGTGAGAGCGCAGTTGTCCTATGGTTCTTTTGCATACAACCTTCCCACAACTTTCTTGGAATGGTGCAGGATAGTTGCTTGGTTCTGGAACATTCTCAGCACATTTAAGGAACTTGACAAAAAAAAGTTTTTTTCTTGGTATTTCATTACTTTAACAGAATGTTTCCTAAAAGTTCAAACATGGTTACAATTTTGGTAATGTTCTAGGAACGTTTTCCAATTGGTTTGACATTGGGAATGTTCTCAAATATTGTTCAGAGAAGGTTAAGAAACAATGGTCTTCTGTGGGAATTCAGTACTTCAGTATAATGTTTCCTACAGGTTTCCTCGTGGTTCTATATAAAGGAATGTTGTTAGAATGTTCAGAGAACGTTAAGAAACAATGTTCTTCTGTGGGAATTTCAGAAAACTTTTGTAACATTCAGAGAATGTTCTAACTAAGAATGTTATTTAAAAACATATTAATTCTGTTCTCAGAACATTAAGGAAACTTTCCATAAAAAACACAAGAAAACATTAGTAAGGTTCAAAGAACGTTCTAAGAATGTTTTTTTTTTTTTTAACACATACATTCCGTTCTCAGCAACAACAAAACTCTCTCTATCCTCTATCTTGTTAAGTGTGTTCAGGTTTGTTGGCCGCGCACAGTAATTGGCCTCACCTGAGTGCTTGTTTCCTTTGAAATGGGGTCTGTTTGAATAGACTAAAATGAACAGCTTTATATGAGTAAAAAAACATGGCATGCTAGCTGTATCCTGGTGGTGCAGTGGACTAATTCCATGGATAGAGAACAGAAGATCATAGGTTCCAAACTCACTAATGCTCTGTCACAAAAATAAATGTGTTTGCATTATTAATGCCTAAGCAAATGAATTTCCATTACATTTTAGTCATTTAGCAGACGCTCTTATCCAGAGCGACTTACAGTTAGTGAGTGCATACATTTTTCATACTGAATTTCCATGTGTCCTATCTGTGCTTGGAGTTCAAATCAGTTAACCTAAGCTAGCAGTGTTATTAAAAGTCTTAGTCAAACATTCAGTGGAATGTTATTCAAAAACCTGCAAATAACAATTTCATTGAAAACATTCACAACATTTAGAGAACAACGTTAATAAAACCTCCCAGGAAAACTTTCAGGGAACTATAGTAAAACTTTCTCAAAATCTTCCTGCAAACTAAAATTGAACGTCCCCAGAACAGGCGAAATGTTCACCTCCGTTCTCAGAACTTTAAAGAAACGTTCAGTTTTACTGGTCAGGAAATGTATGGTTTTGTTCCCAGAACCAATGGGAATTGGAACAGCCTGGTCTCAGAGCAAAACATATTATATTTGACTAAAATCCGTGCCACTCCATTTAGTATGATATGTTACTTTACGTTAGGTTACATTACATTGGTCTACGTAAATCAAATAAGGATGATATGTTACGTTTGGTATGACAGTAGGTTACTTAAGGCAAAAAGGAAAGGAGCATGGTTAACGTGAACATCTAGCAACACAAAGGTTGTGTGTTCGAATCTCATCACGGACAATTTTAGCTAATTAGCAACTTTGCAACTACTTACTACTTTTTAGCTATTTTGCAACTACTTAGCATGTTATCTAACCCTTTCCCTAACCCTAACCTTAACCCTTTACCCTAACTCCTAACCCTAACCAGCTGGCTGGAGTGTTTAAGGACATATTCAATCTCTCCCTATCCCAGTCTGTTGTCCCGACTTGCTTCAAGATGTCCACTATTGTTCCTGTACCCAAGAAAGTGAAGGTAACTGAACTAAATGAATATCGCCCCGTGGCACTCACTTCTGTCATCATGACGTGCTTTGAGAGGCTAGTTCAGGATCTCCACCTTACCCAACACCCTTGACCCACTACAATTTGCATGCCGCCCCAACAGATCCACAGATGATGCAATTGCCATCGCACTGCACACTGCCTTATCCCATCTGGACAAGAGGAATACCTATGTAAGAATGCTGTTCATCAACTACAGCTCAGCCTTCAACACCATAGTGCCCTCCAAGCTCATCACTAAACTCTGTGACCTGGGTCTGAACCCTGTCCTGTGCAACTAGGCCCTGGACTTCCTGATGGGCCGTCCCCAGGTGGTGAAGGTAGGCAACAACACCTCCGCTACGCTGATCCTCAACATGGGGGCCCCACAAGGGTGTGTGCTCAGCCCCCTCCTGTACTCCCTGTTGACTGCGTGGTCAAGCACGTCTCCAACTCAATCATCAAGTTTGTAGGCAACACAACAGTGCTGGGCCTGATTACCAACAACAACGAGACAGCCTACAGGGAGGAGGTGAGGGCCCTGGCAGAGTGGTGCCAGGAAAATAACCTCTCCCTCAACGTCAACAATACAAAGGAGCTGATCATGGACTTCAGGAGACAGCAGAGGGAGCACGCCCCCATCCACATCAACAGGGCCACAGTGGAGAGGGTGAAGTGCTTCAAGTTCCTCGGCGTGCACATCACTGACAACCTGAAATGGTCCATCCACACAGACAGTGTGGTGAAGAAGGCGCAACAGCGCCTCTTCAACCTCAGGTTGCAGCTAAACCAAAAATGTGAGTTCCCACAACTTCCAAGTGAACCAAATGTGCTAGCTGGGATGGGTGTTTTTCTCCAATTACAATTGAGTTATTGAGGAATGGCCAAGTCATCTTGGCTTTATCAGATGATCATATAATTATGAATAGTAATTATGGTAGGCGTCATACTTCTGTAATTTTATACATTTTAAGTTTACCCACATTGTAAATCCCAGTTTGAGCGAATTAGGTCTCCAAATAAGGAAGACAATGGTGGCAATTTATACTGTATAGCTGGCACTGCCAATAGAGATCTGAATCTTTATTCATGTGAGTGCTCTTCTGTTGAAATCCCAGGGTCGCATCCAGCAGGGAATTCTGACGTATACTACGTACAAGGGTGGAGCAAAACCCTGCTCACGCCTCTCCACAAACGATAACATTACGCAGAGAGGACGCTCGTTTGTGATTCGCGAGAGCTGGCCCTCCCTCCTAGTAGGTGGCCCAACCGGGATATATTTGTGTGCAGTGAATACGCAGAGACAAGCCGTGTACAAATCCGTCGGTTTTTGGAATTTGGTACTCCGGAGAGGGACCTATAGGCAGAGAGAAGCGAAAGGAACTGAATAAAGAAAGAGCACCACACTAAAAGGAACTGAAACACACAGTCGAAAATGTCTTCGAATAAAGACGATGGTGGATGGAAGAAGTTTATATGGGATTCGGACAAGGGGGAATTTTGTGGACGCACAGGGGGGAGTTGGTGTAAGTATGCCATTCTGATATTTATGATCATGTTAATTGGCCATTATGGCCAGGGGTTTTAATCGAAATTGTGATGGCTCTCAAATGGCGCGCCTATTGGGCAGTATGGAGCGAGCTCGGAGTCTTAATTTCATCGTGGTGCATAGCACCTGTTTGATTTGACTTTGCAGCAATGTGTGCTACAATGGTACGGTGTCAGAGTCTATATCATTGCCCGTCGCCACTTGTTCATGGCTCTCCATGTCTGTGTTGTGAGGTAATAGCATATGGTGAACATGCGACCAGTTTTTGCTCATATTTCACTGTCACCTGTCCTTGCTAGGAACCTACTGCCTTATTCAAAGGAACAGCCTACCGACTGTTCCAAGCAAAGATGGGTTTTCATTTAAATCACACATCTTAAATCAATGTGAGAATCCAAATAGGTCGTGAAGGACAGTGGTGGGAATAGACGTAATATACATTATTAGAACATGATATTCTAAAGGTTCCAATCTTAATAGTACAGTAGGCTAGTTGATCACACCGCAGAGACGCAGCCGCCTGTGCCTGGAAGGAGACTAGAACTCCCCATCGCAGTAACATGATCTATACCTATGAGGATGGAATTACACAACATGTACATACTGTAGGGACTTAGTTTCATTTCCGATGTAAAATGACACAATCAAAGGGTTAAAAATGCATCATAGTCCAAGGTGATTCAAGGTGAAATGGCCTACTTGGAATTCTAGAGAGGACGTTCCATCTAGTGTTACTATTCGACGTGGATCCTGTGTCACTGCAATTAACAACGGAAATGGATTAACTAGACTAATTTTACTTTTCCCGTTTCCATCTGCATCCATGTCTTCCCTCGTCTCAATGTCACACAAGTAGCCTACATTTTCGGTATTTGGAGGACGACAGAGGAGAGACTTCATGTTGCAATTTTGCTTATTTTACTGACGCCCTCAAGTTGGTTGGTTTGGTCATTTACATCAACCGTGTTTTGTGTGTGCATTATCTCAAGGCCAAAACCTCTTTTGGATTTTTTCATTTAATTTATTATGATTTTTTACCACATTTTGTCATTTTTCTTGTTGGGGGGGTTACAGGTACAACACAACATAATTTCATATTTAATTCAATAAATTGAGTATGAAAAGGAAACAGATAAAAGTGACCCTCCAACCCTACAGCAGTCCCCAACCCCACCCATTCAACATGTCTCCATCCATAACACACCGTAGGTTGGTTGTGATGTCCTTATAATTCTGCCAAGGAACAGGCGACATCTTCAGTAATGCGTAATTGATTGGGAACTGCTGTCTCCTATAGGATGTGACCCTTTGACATTGTCTTATGCACCACTAGGCCTATACAGTACCATGACTGTAAGTCGCTTTGGATAAAAGCGTCTGCTAAATGGCATATTTATTTTATTTATTTATTTATCTCTGCAGGGCTTGTGGGGGCGGCAGGGTTGGGGGTGACTTGAGGAGATTCTAATTACTGCAGTAGTACTATGGCTGGACTCGGGGCGGCAGGTAACGTAGCGGTTAAGAGCGTTCGGCCAGTAACCGAAAGGTCGCTGGTTCGAATCCCGAGCCGACTAGGTAAAAAAATCTGTCAATGTGCCCTTGAGCAGGGCACTTAACCCTAATTGCTCCTGTAAGTCACTCTGTATAAGAGCCTCTGCTAAATAACTAAAATGTACTATACCTGCAGGGCTGGCTTAATGCAGGGGTGTTAATAGAGGGCCCAAGAGGAAGCAACAAATAAATACATTGTTTTACAAAAAATTATGTTAAAGGAAATACTGTGTATATGTAGTATATAATTTGTATTTTTCTACTGCAACTGCCAACCACAGGAGGACTCAGGAGCCCGCTCTCAGTGAGTGTAGACAGCCTGTTGCTCCCTGCTGCAGCTCTGCTAATCATCAGATGGGGGGAGGTATGGGGCCCACGTGGGTAACTGGGGGGCTCAGCCTCGATTGGGTAACTGATGTAATAAAAATAAACTGCATAATAAATACATAAATGTGACTGGTCAATTTTGAGTCACGGGCTGGGTTCAAGCCCATAGGGGGCTCGAGGCATTTACATTTTTTTTTGTATCATACTTTTTTATCCAACCACAGGAGCCCGATCTCAATGTTCAAAATACACCAGAGAGCATAATTTAGCCACAGAAGATCAATAGATTATAAAAAAACTTGTGGATTAAGTTTTATCGCAAGCAAAGACGGGTATCTGCCAAAATAAAGGAAACTCTGACCTAAAGTGTCTTAAAAGGGTGTTGGGCTACCATGAGCTGCCAGAACAGCGTCAATGTGCCTTGGCATAGATTCTACAAGTGGACCTAAACCATGCCAGGAAAATGCACCCCACGCCGTAATATATATATATATATATATATATTACACACTACCGTTCAAAACATTTTTTTTGTCCATTTAAAATAATATAAACTTGATCAGAAATACAGTGTAGACATTGTTAATGTTGTAAATGGCTATTGTAGCTGGAAACGGCAGATTTGTAATGGAATATCTATATAGACGTACAGAGGCCCATTATCAGCAACCATCAGTCCTGTGTTCCAATGGCACGTTGTGTTTATCATTTTAAAAGGCTAATTGATCATTAGAAAACCCTTTTGCAATTATGTTAGCACAGCTGAAAACTGTTGTGCTGATTTAAAGAAGCATTAAAACTGACTAGTTGAGTATCTGGAGCATCAGCAATTGTGGGTTCAATTACAGGCTCAAAATGGCCAGAAACAAAACTTTATTTTCTTGCCTCACAGGTCCTGAACTGGCAGCTTCATTAAATAGTACCCGCAAAACACCAGTCTCAACGTCAACAGTGAAGAGGCAACTCCGGGATGCTGACCTTCTAGGCAGAGTTGCAAAAAAAAAGCCATATCTCAGACTGCCCATCTTAATCTTTTCTTTTTATTGGCCAGTCTGAGCTATGGCTTTTTTTTTGCAACTCTGCCTAGAAGGTCAGCATCCCGGAGTTGCCTCTTCTCTGTTGACGTTGAGACTGGTGTTTTGCGGGTACTATTTAATGAAGCTGCCAGTTGAGGACCTGTGAGGCGCTTGTTTCTCAAACTAAACACTAATGTATTTGTCCTCTTGCTCAGTTGTGCACCGGGGCCTCCCACTCCTCTTTCTATTCTGGTTATAGCCCGTTTGTGCTGTTCTGTGAAGGGAGTAGTACACAGCTTTGTACGAGATCTTCAGTTTCTTGGCAATTTCTCGCATGGAATAGCCTTTCTTTCTCAGAACAAGAATAGACTGACGAGTTTCAGAAGAAAGTTCTTTGTTTCTGGCCATTTTGAGCCTGTAATCGAAACCACAATTGCTGATGCTCCAGATACTCAACTAGTCTCAAGAAGGCCAGTTTTATTGCTTCTTTAATCAGCACAACAGTTTTCAGCTGTGCTAACATAATTGCAAACGGGTTTCCTAATGATCAATTAGCCTTTTAAAATGATAAACTTGGATTAGCAAACACAACGTGCCATTGGAACACAGGACTGATGGTTGCTGATAATGGGCCTCTGTACGCCTATGTAGCTATTCCATTCAAAATCAGCCGTTTCCAGCTACAATAGCCATTGACAACATTAACAATGTCTACACTGTATTTCTGATCAATTTGATGTTATTTTAATGGACAAAAAAATTGATTTTCTTTCGAAAACAAGGACATTTCTAAGTGACCCCAAACTTTTGAACGGTAGTGTGTGTCACAATAAATAAAATATATGTATGTATGTATATGTGTCGTTTACTCAAGTGTTTCCTTTATTTTGGCAGTTACCGTTATGCCTACAGTCGGGGAGGGCACAGTTTGTTGTGTTGTGGCCATAGACATATAATCCATAGAAGGGTTTTGTAACCTCTTACCCTGACAATTTGACTGTTAAACTCAAGGGTACACTAGCAATGGATGCCAGTCCTGACTTGAATGAGAACTGCCATCTATGGATTATATTTCTATGGTTGGTTGTGGCTGTTGGTTTGCCTTTTGCAGATTTCAAAATACATTAAAAAAAAGCCCTGGGGCCTATGATTTCTTAATCCTGCCCTGTGTACCTGTGCTGGTGTGATGCATATCCCAGCCTGCACATTTTGGTTCCTTGGAAGTTGTGGGAACGTATGTTTTTGGTTTCCCATTGGTTCTGAGTATGAAGCAATACTTTTCCCGACCTGTAAAACTGAACGTTTTTAAAAAATGTTCTGAGAACGGAAGTGAACATTTCACATGTTCTGGGAACGTACATTTTTAGGTTGCAGGGAGGTTCTGAGAATGTTCTACTATGGTTCCCTGAAAGTTTTCCTGGGAGGTTTTATTAACTTTCTGAGAATGGAAATTATAGGTTATTTTAAGGTAATTAAATAACGTTCTAAAAACATGTTTCAATAAGACTAACACTGCTAGCTTAGGTAACTGTTTTGAACTCCAAGCAGAGATAGGACACGTCAATTTAATTTTCTTAGGCATTAATCATGCAAACGCATTTCTTTTTTTATTGTGGCACATTGTCAGTGAGATTTGACCCTATGATCTTCTGTTCTCTATCCATGGAATTAATCTACTGCGCCGCCAGGATAGTGCTAGCATGTTGTTTAAAAAAAAACTCATACAAAGCTGTTAATTTTAGTCTATTTAAACAGACTCCATTTTAAAGGAAACAAGCACTCATTAAGACCAAGTGTGGCCAATTAGTGGGCGTGACCAACACACCTGAACACACTTAACAAGAGAGGTTTTATTGATGCTGAGAATAGAATGTATGTTTTTAAATAACATTCTTAGAATGTTCTTAATGTTCTGAGAACATGACTTAAAATAGAACCATGAGGAAACTTTATTTTTAAGTACTTACATTCCCACAGAAGAACGTTGTTTCTTAAAGCTGCAGTATGTGACTTTGGGCGACCTGATCAAATTCACAAATATGAGTTATAGATCTATCATTCTCATTGAAAGCAAGTCTAAGAAGTGGTAGATCCCGTTCTTAAGTTTCATTTTTGTGTCTTTTACTTTGTTTTGTATACCAGCTTCAAACAGCTGAAAATACAATGTTTTTGGTTATGGTACAAGGATTCTCGACACTATACTTGCTTGTTTTGTCACAAACTGAAATTAGGTCGAACTATTAGAATTTTAGCAACCAGGTAATGGGGGAGTGATTTCTGCATGGTGCCCTTTTTAACGTTCTTTAAACAATTTGAGAACATAACTTTAAATAGAACCATGAGGAAATATACTGAAATTCCCACCTAAGAAACCTATGGTTCTCAGAACGTTATGTGCTAGCTGGGTAGTATCTATGTTTTGTATAAACAGCTGAGCATGCAGGACAGCCTCCATTGTTATTGGGACCTGAATGTATTAATTTATTGGCCTTATTTGAGATGTGGGCACTATTTTTAGAGCAACCTAGTCTCTCGTGACAGGCCTAACAATTAAAGCTGAGTAGCTGGCTTGAGATTTGGTTCTGGGTGCTGAGATTAACAGCAACCAAAAGTAATTTGACAATTTTCTACTCTGAAGCCTGAAGTTGTTGTTCCCCTGGCTACTACTGTATGATCTACTGGTTACACTTCATTTTCATGCCCTCAGTGAAGAGGCAAGACAATGTCTACTACTGTTATGGGTGGATTACAATTTGGAATGGTAGCTTTGTGGTTAGGTTACCTCCTGCTCCCTCCATAGGAGACACAGGCTTCTCTGTCTGCATGCATTCTACCTGTAAAGGTATCCCTGAGCCCAGGAGTGCATCACAAATGGCACCCTTTTCCCTATATCGTGGACTTCTTTTGACCAGCGCACTACATAGGGAATAGGGTGCCATTTGGGACATATACCAGTTATGTATAGTCTGTGTCTGGACCAGGAACCCTAATGTAGAAACCAGGTGGGCTTGGATTAGTAGTAGAGCCAGCCAATGTATTTATCTAATTTAATGCGTTTGATAGTGTTGTGTTCTGTGGGGCAATGACTAGGTGGTATATTGAGGTTTGACGATAGACACGCATGAGATTGAATTGGTCCAGTTGGAATTGGAACACTGCAGAAACACTAGTCTGACAAGACGCATTTGGCAGACATGCTGTTTCTCTTTCTTAAGCTGTACCCCTCTCGTCTCACTTTGTGGTGCAAGACATCACTTGTCTATTTGATGTTAAAATGGTAAGCATTTAAGTCCCCAACGTCACAAACACTACAGTCAAAAACAAAGGTGGGCAGAGGGGATCCACAGTCTACATATCTGAGGTGTTTAGTGTACTATACACACTGGCTCTGCAGGGCTGGTTAGGGTGGCAGGGTTGGGTTGACTTACTGCAGTAATACTAACGTTGGACTTGGGACTTCATTATGGGGAATGTTAATTGTTTTTCAGAGCAGATTTAACATTCTACAGTTGTGTAATGCTGGAGTTCTGTACGTGGCTTTTGTATGACTCAATTGAATGAGTGGAAATGGAGCTTGTCAGCAACATAACAGGATCTTAATGGCATGACTGGTGTTTGTGTAAAAACAAATGTCACAATCATCTGTCCTCCCCCTCTCTTGCATGGTGATGACCCATTTTTCTCTCTCTCTCTCTCTCTCTCTCCTTTTACAGTTAAAATTCTAGGGTTCTACTTAGTCTTCTATGCATTTCTGGCTGGAGTATTCATCGGCACCATCCAGGCTTTGCTTCTCACCCTCAGTAACTACAAACCCACCTGGCAAGACAGAGTTGCTCCCCCAGGTAAGGTATCGCTAAACACTGAGCCGCTACTGCTGCCTGGGGATAGGACAGATGGTGTCCAAACACAGTGGCTTCGTTTGAAATGGCACCTTATTCCCTACCCACTGGTCAAAAGTAGTGCACTATGTAGGGGATAGGGTGCCATTTGGGACGCAGCCAGTGTCTAACATGCATGTTTGTATGTCTCAGAGGGATGGGTTATGTCCGTCAAACATCCTCTTATTGAATTTCACACTTTAACTCCTTAAGGAAGTCCCACTGTGAGATATCAGCTGAATTGACTTTAGCACTGCAGATGGGCCAGAAAGCAGGCAGGCAGGCAGGCAGGCACGTTACCGTTTGAGGTCAGACACACAGAGGACTCTTGTCTTTCAGGTAAACGGTGGGTGTCATCCATGCATGCAGCATGTGAAACTGTTTTTGTTACTGGTTCAGTGTCTATGGCCCTGGCTCATTTAGGCTAGCTTGTACAGTAGTATGCTTTCGTCCAGTAACAAACAGGTGAAATTAGATTTTTGGCAAAGATGTAGATAAGTGCTTCTGTCAAAATGAACTCTGGTCTAGTAGTGAACTGAATAAATGAACTCTGGTCTAGTAGTGAACTGAATAAATGAACTCTGGTCTAGTAGTGAACTGAATAATGGAAGTGTTATTCCAGTTACTGCAATCCTACATTTTGGTGTAGGTAGTGGGTTGGTCAAGTGTTGCCAGTGTCACAATTAATGACATGACCTTGTCAAAGACTAGTAAGCTGCATTTGAACTATGTCTAAAGCCAGTTGAATGTTGAAGTATCCCAGCCCAGTCATTTGTCTGTCCGGGTGTATATATAGCCATGGTCTGCTCAGGGAACCCCCATTAGGAGGTGAGGTGAGGAGAGGTAGCTAGGCGTTGATGTGAGTTACTTTCCACAGGCTGGGGAGGTGGTGGCTGGGGAGGTGGTGGCTGGGGAGGTGGGGAGGTGGTGGCTGGGGAGGTGGGGAGGTGGTGGCTGGGGAGGTGGGGAGGTGGTGGCTGGGGAGGTGGGGGCTGGGATGGGCTGGTTGTAAATAAGGAAGCAGAAGAGAATAGGTGTGGATGTGTTTTGGATCTTGTCCCGTAGAGTAAAGACAGTTGTCTTTTGTTTGAAATGGGCTTTTCCCATTTACTGACCCATCTGCTAAGAACAATGACCGGGATTCACCTTCCTCTTCAAGAGTGTCTTCCAAAGTGTGGACTCTTCCATGTATGACTGCCTCACTGAAAGACTTCATTAGAAAGCAAATTACACTGACTGTACTTAACATTACTGAGTATGAAACCAGTTATCTATGTAACTGCGGTACTATTGTGTGTTAGTGTAAATAGAATGGTCACAAGTCCACTGAAACATTATAGTCCTATTATAAAAGATTGTATTGCTAATAGTACTTTCTCTACTTCTGTAACATTGAAACTGATGGTGTACTGTCTCTCTGTTCTCAGGCCTATCGCACACCCCACGCTCCGACAAGTCCGAGATCGCCTTCAACTTGAATGATGTGGAGACCTACTTGGCTTACACCAAGGCCATGAGAGAGTTCCTGGTTATGTACGACGAGGACAAACAGAGGGACCAGATGAAATACGAGGATTGTGGAGGTACGTGAAGTGGGCCCCTCTTGGGCCTGGTTCCATTCCGCTCTCTATCCCCTCCCCCTAGCTCCTAGTCCTACCCCCTCCCATGACACAGTCCTAAGAGGATGGAGGCTGGTGCTCAATGTGGTGGAAGCTCTACTTAGGTGGAGGTGGTGCCATCACCTTATAGCCTTTGCTTATTGAATCCTTTCTGGTGTTCTAACATCGACCAGATGGGATAGGAACTAAGTGGTCAGGACATGGAATGGAATTGTGTATTGGCTTCTTCAGAGAGAAGGTGTATTTTTATATGAATTAGTTGAAGCGAGCAGCTGTGCCATCCTGTGCTCAGTGTTTATTTGGTGATTTCCTTCTCTCACATTAGAGCAACCGGATGACTATAAGAACCGTGGCGACCTGGAGAGTGATGTGGGGATCAGGAAGGCCTGTCGCTTCCAGAGGACCTGGCTTGGGCCTTGCGCTGGCATCGAGGACAGAGACTTCGGCTTCAAGGATGGAAAACCCTGCCTGATCGTCAAGCTCAACAGGATCGTCAACTTCAGGCCAAGGGTAAATATCCTCAGGACATAACTTTCAGGCCTTATCAACCAGGACATATGAAAAGTTGACCTCTTGTACAAACCGGTCACTTTGATATTTCCAGTGGCCCCTGGTTGTTAGTTTATGCATATTTCCCCCAAAGTAGTAGTACATTATTGAATGCAAATCTACATATACTTTCTTAGGTAAAAGTGTTACTGTTTTTTAGCGTATGCTCTCCAAAGCAGATTTGTTTTGCCGCTCCTCACTCACTGTGTACCTGTCCTCCCTCCTTTCAGCCCCCCAGCTCCAATGACAGCATCCCTGAGGGAGCCCAGTCCAAGGTCCAGCCCAACGTCATGCCCATCTTCTGCACCAACAAGGTACAGTACGCCAGACGTGGAATGAGATGGAACCACATCAAATCAGAATGAATCATTCCAAAGTCGGTTGACCGTAATGTCAGTAAAGCAACATTGAAGCCTAAGGGAATGTTGACTTGAATGGGAATGTTCGTTCTAGCAATTCTAGAATTGCTTTCGAGGAATAGTCCCCATTCTGTCACTAAACCAGCTATTGTAAATGTGTTTCTGGGTAAAGGTTAGACCTCAGAATGACCAGAATAGCACCGTATTTCTCTTCTTTTGACCCTGTCACCCAATATATTTGCAGAGAGAGGAGGACGCGGGTAAGATCGGCGAGGTGAAGTATTACGGCATTGGTGAAGGCTTCCCCCTCCAGTATTACCCCTACTACGGCAAGCTGCTTCACCCCCAGTACCTGCAGCCCCTGGTGGCCCTCCAGTTCGTCAACCTCACCATGAACACCGAGCTGCGCATCGAGTGCAGAGCCTACGGAGAGAACATCGGCTACAGCGAGAAGGACAAGTTCCAAGGAAAATTTGACGTTAAATTCACTGTCACCAACTTATGACCGCAGTTAGGTTCATAGCACTTTTTTTCTCTCCAGCCCCATCTCCCTCCTCAACCATTTCTCAAAAGTAACAAAATAATTTAGGAAAGGGAGTTGGGGTGGAAATGTTAAGTAAAAAAATCACAACTAGTCTTGAACAAAACTCATAACATACGGGACGACACTTCATCTGTCTGCTTTACACTGGCTTCTCTGCTTCTGTCTAGGTTTAGAATGTAAGTCGCAGGAGGAGTAGCAATAGCATAAAGTATTTATTCTACTGTAAATGAAGAATATTCCTTGAGCCATGGGGACATGTTTCATTTATGACTGTAAATTGTAATTCCACTACTGATGTGTAGCGAGCCGTGTTTTGTCCCTCCTCCGTATTGCTGCCTTGTGTGGTTTCTATACATATTTTTGGAGTGTACAGTGCAGTAGTCGCATACATTGGTCCTTTCCAAGCCATGTTGTAACCTGTTTACTTATGTGAGCAAGCTTTAGCAGTCCAAGATGTGTATATACTATATATGAATACTTAATAATTGAAAAATATTGACACGGTACGCTCTGATCTCTTCTGGTCCGTGTGAGAAAAAAGGTTGCACTCCAGGGAACTAGAACTACTCTTTCCTTCTTTTTGCCTTTATGTCTGATTGATTGTGGGATAAATATTTTTACATCTTTTACTTTTAGAATCACTTTAAATGTGGGATAAGGGTTTTATTACGCTATTGTTTCAGACTTTTATTTTGTTCTATTTGATCTCACTCTTAATGTCGAGTTGTCTCCGGGTTGTTAGACTACTTTTGCCTTTTGTAGGGCAACGGTGCTAACTCTGCTTTTTAAAGATGATTGTTTCGCTGAATTACGTCACGTCATCTCACAACGTGGTGTAACTTTCTGATGAATGTTTTAGCCATTTTACATGGTGGAAGTAGGAGTTTTATATTTATGCGATTGTACATTTTTTTTTCTGCAGAAAAGTGTAATGTATAAATACAATACCAAAGTCACTGGTCCAAGTTGAGGAGAATCTTATCAGAAGCAGCACTGTACCCCGTGTTTTAGGATTTCTCGTCGATGTTAAGTGCTAAAAGTCAATGTCTAACATCAGTCACGTTACTATCAGGAGTTCTCATCCGCTCTTGTCATTTATTTAATCCCAGTACGAAAAAAAACTGAAATAAAATGATAACACAACTTTCTTTCTTTATTCCAGTTTCTCTCAAACAAAACCAATACACCGCTGTAAGGACACACTGCACCAGTCTAAAGTGGCGTCCTCTTCTTGTCTCCTTTTCTTTCAATATGCACAGATCTGAAAGAAAAGGACAGGACGGGTTCTACTATATTGCTGTGACCTTCCCTGTCATTTCAGATCAGTGACGATGGAAATAGAACTGCATCACACCGTTGATGTAGTCCTACCCTAGTCTGGGGTTTTTCAGTGACACACCACCTTACCTACTGGTATCTAGTGTCAGGTGAATAGTGAGGCTTGGCAAAGAGTTAAGGGTTGTTTATTTATGCATTTTGAACCCTGCAAAAAACACGTACGTTACATTTGAAGTGCCTATAATTAAAAGGAGACCATCTCCTATCTTCATCCAAACGGACTCCTTATCAACTCTAACCAGATGCTGACAGAGCAGGGGGAAATAAGTGCTGCAAAACCAGCTCCCCTCGGTGTCTGCCCTTCCTCTGTTTTCCTACAGCTAATGACTTCCAGAACTAATGACCGTCAAGGTCAACTCGTGCATTTCAAAGTATTTGATTTGACCTGTTTGTTTTTTGCAACGACATGACACAATAGAGAAACCGCTTGTGGAATTATTATTTTTAGGTACATTGTCGGCTTGGAAAAGAAACTACAAACCACCTAGAAATCAAAGGATGTTACAGAGAGCTGTCAATGCTAACATGTTAAGTAAGGGACGTTAGATGGTTTTTAGCTACTAGTCTGTTGCCATGGTTACCACAGCTCATCTCCTGAGAGACTACTGCCATGGTTACCACAGCTCAGCTAGCCTCCAGGCTTATGACACATCACCTGGGTGACTGACTAACACCATGTTGCTCATTCTGTGTATGTGGAAAGGACTAGCCCTTGATCATGACTCTCAGGTCCATTACATTACACATAAGAGTCATTGGACGAAGGTGTCTTATGTATGGGGGAGTTTTGTTAAGAGCCCCAATGCTTGGTCTGAACATTAATAACGTGCATCACTTGTGGTATGGGTTTGGAAGCATAAGGACCTTATTTTTCATATCAGCAAGAAATAATTTTCTATAAACAAAAGGTTAAATTGATACACACCTTTATAGGGTTAGGATTAGCGTTCCCACACGGCCTTATCGCCATGTTACAGCACGTGTTTACAGAAGACAGACGGAAGACGGGACCACCTGGGCTAATTAGCTATCTAGCATGCTCCGAACACCTGTGTGAAATGGAAGAAGGCCGCGTAGAAACGTGTTGTCACTGAAATATACTGTTGGCTGCAACTGTGATAAAGCCTTTTAAAACAGTGTTCAGCACAGGAGGTTGGTGGCACCTTCCGGAGACATTTGAAACCCCACCTCTTTAAGGAATACCTGGGATAGGATAAAGTAATCCTTCTACCCCCCCCTTACTCCCCAAAAAAAAAAAACCTTTTTTTTTTTTTTTTTTTTCACCTTTATTTAACCAGGTAAACCAGTTGAGAACAAGTTCTCATTTACAACTGCGACCTGGCCAAGATAAAGCAAAGCAGTGCGATAAAAACAACAACACAGAGTTACATATGGGGTAAAACAAAACAAAGTCAAAAATACAACAGAAATACATATAATATACAGTGTGCAAATTTAGCAAGTTATGGAGGTAAGGCAATAAAATAGGCTATAGTGCAAAATAATTACAATTAGTATTAACACTGGAATGATAGATGTGCAAGAGATGATGTGCAAATAGAGATACTGGGGTACAAATGAGCAAAATAAATAACAATATAGGGATGAGGTAGTTGGGCGGGCTAATTTCAGATGGGCTGTGTACAGGTGCAGTGATCGGTAAGGTGCTCTGACAACTGATGCTTAAAGTAAGTGAGGGAGATAAGTGTCTCCAGCTTCAGAGATTTTTGCAATTTGTTCCAGTCATTGGCAGCAGAGAACTGGAAGGAATTGCGGCCAAAGGAGGTGTTGGCTTTGGGGATGACCAGTGAGATATACCCGCTGGAGCGCAGACTACGGGTGGGTGTTGCTATGGTGACCAATGAGCTAAGATAAGGCGGGGATTTGCCTAGCAGTGATTTATAGATGGCCTGGAGCCAGTGGGTTTGGCGACGAATATGTAGTGAGGACCAGCCAACAAGAGCGTACAGGTCACAGTGGTGGGTATTATATGGGGCTTTGGAGACAAAACGGATGGCACTGTGATAGACTACATCCAATTTGCTGAGTAGAGTGTTGGAGGCTATTTTGTAAATGACATCGCCGAAGTCAAGGATCGGTAGGATAGTCAGTTTTACGAGGGCATGTTTGGCAGCATGAGTGAAGGAGGCTTTGTTGCGAAATAGGAAACCGATTCTAGATTTAACTTTGGATTGGAGATTCTTAATGTGAGTCTGGAAGGAGAGTTTACAGTCTAACCAGACACCTAGATATTTGTAGTTGTCCACATACTCTAGGTCAGACCCGTCGAGAGTAGTGATTCTAGTCGGGTGGGCGGGTGCAAGCAGCGTTCGGTTGAAGAGCATGCAATTAGTTTTACTAGTGTTTAAGAGCAGTTGGAGGCTACTGAAGGAGTGTTGTATGGAATTGAAGCTCGTTTGGAGGTTTGTTAACACAGTGTCCAATGAAGGGCCAGATGTATACAAAATGGTGTCGTCTGCGTAGAGGTGGATCTGAGAGTCACCAGCAGCAAGAGCGACGTCATTGATATACACAGAGAAAAGAGTCGGCCCAAGAATTGAACCCTGTGGCACCCCCATAGAGACTGCCATAGGTCCAGACAACAGGCCCTCCGATTTGACACATTGAACTCTATCTGAGAAGTAGTTGGTGAACCAGGCGAGGCAGTCATTTGAGAAACCAAGGCTATTTAGTCTGCCAATAAGAATGCGGTGGTTGACAGAGTCGAAAGCCTTGCCCAGGTCAATGAAAACGGCTGCACAGTACTGTCTATTATCGATCACGGTTATAATATCGTTTAGGACCTTGAGCGTGGCTGAAGTGCACCCATGACCAGCTCGGAAACCAGATTGCATAGCGGAGAAGGTACGGTGGGATTCGAAATGGTCGGTGATCTGTTTGTTGACTTGGCTTTCAAAAACTTTTGAAAGGCAGGGCAGGATGGATATGGGTCTGTAACAGTTTGGATCTAGAGTGTCACCACCTTTGAAGAGGGGGATGACCGCGGCAGCTTTCCAATCTCTGGGGATCTCAGACGTTACGAAAGAGAGGTTGAACAGGCTAGTAATAGGGGTTGCGACAATTTAGGCGGCTAGTTTTAGAAAGAAAGGGTCCAGATTGTCTAGCCCAGATGATTTGTAGGGGTCCAGATTTTGCAGCTCTTTTAGAACATCAGCTGTCTGGATTTGTGTGAAGGAGAAGCGGGGGGGGGCATGTAAAGTGGTTATCCCACTGGCTATAAGGTGAATGCACCAATTTGTAAGTCACTCTGGATAAGAGCGTCTGCTAAATGACGTAAATGTAAATGTAAAATAAGAACGGGCTCGTGGTAACGGCTGGAGCGGAATCGGTGGAATGGTATCAAATACTGCAAAGACATGATTTCCATGTGTTTTATGCCATTCCATTTGCTCCATTCCGGCCATTATTATGAGCCGTCCTCCCCTCAGAAGCCTCCTGTGGTCTACAGTAAGTCTATATTTTGTATTTGTGAAATTATTAAGTAAAGGGCTTTACATTTCTAGAACCGTATCGCTATTGAGAATCGATTCACGTTTAACTGGAGTGTCAGGGCCAGTCTACCTCTGAAAATAACATGGAAGGTCCTTGGATCTTAAGGAGTA